AATCAAGCAGGACGTAGGGTTTTACCTCCATCGAGAGGGCCCGAACCTGGGTAAAACTTCGTGTCCCTTGTCTCCTGTTACCATCCGGCCTAGACGCACAGTTCGGGACCCCCTACCCGAGATCCGCCGGTTTTGACACCAACACTAGCGTTGATGGAACACCGACGAAGAAGAGGACAACAAGCCACCAAACCTAGTTGTTTTGTGGCGTTCACATGAGGGTCGCGACGACCAGCAAGACTCGATGACGATAAGGACATACACCGGACTCTTGATCGTGGCGGTGACATGAACCTTCAAAAATGCGAACAAATACTCCCACCAAACCTACAAGTAATTATCTGAGAGCTTATGTATTTGTGCGTCCAGACTGCTAACCTTGTGAGTTCCATAGATTCAGGGTGCTTAAACCCTTCGTAATCAACAAGGATCAGGCCATGCCTCTTGGAATGTTCGTGGTCTTGGAAGAAACAAAAAATGCACTGACGTTACATCTACTCTTTCCGGTCTCGATGCTTCCTTCATTTGTCTCCAAGAAACCAAACTTGATGAGATTTCTTTTTTAAGGCTAGCTCCTTTCTTCCCCCTAACCTGCGATCCTTTCACTTTCTTCCCTCAATTGGATCTGCTGATGGGGTCCTACTCCTGACCGCTTGGAATGAACATGACTTCTCCATTTCTTCTGTTACTTCTCTCACGCTCTCTTTAACGTTACACTTCACGACCAAGGCTAATAACGATGCTTTCTCAATCTCGGATATCTATGGTCATTGTACTACCTCAGATAAGCAAGCCTTTGCCGATGAATTGCTTTAGTTGGGCCAGTCCGTCTCCAGCCCATGGGCGTTTATTAGCGACTTTAACTTCACCCTCGGGCCATGTGATCATTCCAATGACAACTTTGACCGCTCCGAGGCTGCTTTTTCTCCTCTGTACTTAATCAGATTAAGCTTTAGGAGCTCCCCTGCTTGATAGGTTATATACCTGTTCCAACCATTAAGTCCCTCCTATCCTCGTTCGTTTAGATAGGGCTTTCGTTAATACCGATTGGAGCTTTCTCCTACCAGACTCCTCCCTCGCATCCACCTGTCGAACAACGTCCGACCACGTTCCGTTAGTTCTTTCAACACCCTCCAAAATTCCCAAACCCTCCATTTTCCATTTCAACAATGGTCTTCTACGTTTTCAGCCCTTCAAAAACATTATTTCTCAAAATTGGAACAGTGTTTCTCCATATCAGAACTTGGCATCTATGTGCCTAAAACTAAAGCAGGTGCGGGCCGCGGCTAAGACTTGGGCTAAGAAGGCAAGGTCCCCTTTGGTGATCACCAAAGACTGTAAAACTGTCATCACCTTCCTTGACAAGATAGAACAATCCCGTACTCTATCCACCCTTGAACGCTCTTTGCGCACCCAAGTGGCTCTCTTGCTGCATCGACACAATGCTCTCTCTGCGCTTTACTGGCGCCAACATGCCAAAATTAAAGACTGTGCCCTCGGAGATGAGAACTCAGATTACGTCCACCTTTGTGCCACCATTCATACGTAAAAACCAGATCAAAGCCATCACCGTCAACGGCGTCGATGTTTCCTCACACTCAGGCAAATATCATGCTTTGCACGATTACTTCAGAAAAAAATCATTGGCTCTCCGATCGCCCATGACATGCCCCCCAACCTTGATGCGTTGGTTTCGACATCTCGTCTTAGTTTGTCTCAGTCCAATGCTTTGTGTGCGCCTTTCACCCTAAATGAGATTAAGAAGGCCTTGCTCTCCAAGAACGACACAATGCGAGTCCAGGACCAGATGGCTTTGGGTCGGCATTCTACAAAGCAAACTGGGATCTCGTAAAAACGATCTGATGCATCTTTTATCTACTTTTCACTCATGCACCATAGACCTTACGCGCATTAACAAGTCCTTTATTGTTCTCGTGCCCAAAAAAACGAGGAACTTCTGAGCCAGATCACCTTCGGTCGATCTCTCTATAGAACTGCTCCATCGAACTCTACTCTAAATGCCTAACAAATAGAGTTCAATTGGTTATTTCGGATCTTGCCCACACTAACCAATCTAGGTTCATTAAGGGACGTAACATTGCGGAAAATTTCATCCTTGCTGCTGATATTGTTCAAGGATGCCACAAACATAAATGTCCGGCTCTGGTTCTATAATTAGACTTTAAGAAAACCTTTGATTCAGTCTCCTGGACTGTCTATGCAAGATCTTTAAGGCTAAAGGTTTCTCGGACTCTTAGATTTGTTGGATTATGATATTAAATAACTCCAGTCAATCGGCTATCCTTCTCGACGGTGTCCCCGTGAATTGGATCCATGCAAAAATGGTCTTAGGCAAGGCAATCCTATCTCTCCATACATGTTTATAATTGTTTCCGACATTCTGCAACACATGATTTTACAT